ACCTGCATTCATTACAATCAGAAAAAGCGTAAACGTAGACAAGGCAAACACCGTTGGATTAAAATTTCAAAATGTGCATTATGGAGTGAAAATCGTGATGTAAATCAATTACTTGTTTCCGAAGACAGATTCTTGAGGATTCGCAAAGGAACGATAGCTACCATTTTGCTTACTGTTGGTGAGACACTTAATTTCATTGATGGTTCACGAAAGGTACAATTGTGAGTGTATGCATACACGTGAATATTTCAACTACATTGTACTAGCTATATCAAGCATGCATACTGTCAATAATATAAAATAAAAATATATGTACAAGTGTACTACCGAAGGTCACGTTACATATATGCACTAGGCGCAGACGATAACAGATAATTTACTTAATTGGGCTTAATGCTTTTTTTTATAATTCCTTTGTACTGCCAGTAAACAAGTTAATTATTGATAACAGCTAGAGATAAGAAAAAAATAATGCTTACGAGCATCAGATGTGTTTAATATTCTCAGGTGTGCCGTGAGCGTAATCATATAAAAGATATTAACTGTGAGCTTATAGTTCTGCCAGGACCACGTGATAAAAATTTAACCATTTTGAAATACGGTGATATTGCTATTTGGTGCTGCTCTGTGTCAGACCTCCTGGCGAAGGTTAACTCACACTGGTTGTAGGAATTCACCGATTTTCTTTTATACATGTCTGTCACGAACGGCTGGTGATTATAACATCACATACTTACATTGCAAGCCAACAACTTTGACAGGAAACTGGAGTATAAAGTAAATTAGAAAAGTGGGATGTCGCTTTCCTTCTATGCTATGTTGGGCTATAACCTAAGTTGATTATTTTTGTTTAGATTTAGATCGGTGTACATACAGTATTAATGGATTTCCTCAGTACTTGCCATAGCATGCATCACTCCCAATAAGCTGTTTATTTTTTGTCTATTTTTTTTCAAATAGTATTTTGAAAAATCAATGTTGTATTTTTATATATCATTAAGAAGCTGCATACATATAACAACAAAAAAAGGAAAATAATTTCTTAATAATTCGCATTTCATCTATCCTACATAATTGACATTTAAAGACACTGCAAATTCACCTTTCAGTGTCGTATTCATTTTTACCTACAGTTGACAATATTGGACCTACTCCCAACACAATTGTTTTATACTCACCTACAGTATGATATTAATGGCCACCTCACTAAGAAACTCTATGACAGTTACCTACAGTATGACAATGGTGAACACATAATTTAACAAGAAAATGCAGCAAAGGTGCTGGACACCAAACCTTTTTATGAAAACGACTTACTAACAGTGCATCAACCACGAAGGAACGGATCCTGCATACTTGAATCTATTTAATTATAATTTTATAAATTGTTAATGACATTAATTTTGTCGTTCAGAATATTCCGTCTATGCTCAATATCCCTACGTTTTGCACTATTGTCACTCAATAATTGTCCCACAACACGCAAATATACAGTTTTAACCACACGTTTAGGCCTAAAAGTTAATGATTTGGCAATAACGTCATCTTCTGAGAGAGAAAAGCCGGGACTTTAGATGATTAACATAAAAGATCATTTATACCTTTTGTTAAAATTGCAGCGATTTTTGCAAATATTTCTTTTGACAATGTACCTATTTGACTATTTTGGATGAATTAACAATCAACTTCTATGTTAAAGCGTCAATCGTAGCCCCCGCCCCTTTAAATAATTGTTATTACTTCTCGAGATTGCTACGAAAACACATTTTGCCACAACGCTGGTATTTTGTTTGTTATCACGTTTTCGTTTTACACAAGTGAAATAAATATATCGTATTGGACGGGAAAACCATGAAATTTTCTATTTCTTTATTTTTTTTCACGTCACGCTGTGCAAATATTGCTACACCAGAACAGCGCGGGAATGTGTAACGTAAATATTTGAAGCAAAGTTGTAATGACGTCACGCTTGAATGGGTTTTCACTGCAATTTTGACGTTTGCTAGTATTATCTGGTAAAATTTCCAGACAAAAATGATATTAATTGTGTAGTTATGTAAAAACAATAATGTATGCAGCAAAGGCTGGAAACAAAACCAGTTAGTCTGCCGTCACTTCATCTAAACTTGAAACTGAAAATCTACGCAGAGAAACTAATGTACCGTTCAGATTGGACAATACTAAGAGTGAAGTTTTTACTCGTGAAGATATGATGTTTCGTTTATCTTCACTTCATTAACGATATGTTTTATCTAATGGAGATTCAATGATATTTCACTTTACATGTAAACTAATATATACCGATACCGTAGACCATCATATTTTTGAAGACAGTATGCGGCCTTAATTTCCCAGAAGGCTTTCACGAATGGGGAAGCACAGGAAATGGTCAAAGTGTTTACAGATCAAATCCCGGCGGCGCTTCGCGCCGCTTAGGGGTTTGAAAACATATATTACATTAACCAAAGGTTAATGGTTAGTAGGTCACCTTGATACCAAACTCTATGAAATGCCCTACAGTATGACATTGATGAAACTAGATGAAATGTCCTAATGTCATGAATTTCATATTAAATGGAAAAGCATGTAAGATCCTATATATATTAAACGTTTGTCTTCTCCAACCATTTCCTTTGAACAAGGATTTTTTAAACTAAACTCTAGATTTTTAATAAGAACGTGTTAAACAGATTCAGAGCATCTGCTCCATAGAATTGTTTTGTTTCAAAGCGGGTAGTGAAATATATAAGAATAAAAAAAAAATTCTTTTCATCTTTTCCTTTTTCCACAGACGTTACAGGTAGACTGTGTCTTGCCTTAGTGAAGGCGATCAACTTATTGGCAAGTTCGTGCATTGGCATTGCCTCTATTCGTTCGATAATCAAAGCCTGTGTGAAACTAAAATCTCCGTTCGCCTCACTGCACCTTTATTACTCTCACCTTTTTTACTACTATATAATGAAATAATCATTGCGCTGTGCCTGCTACATTTAATTGCTTTTGGCGTAGATATATACACCTGACATATAAATGGCGAAGTAGCTTGCGTCCAGGGTGAAGAGATTGTATGCTAGCAGGCGCAGAAAGGCGGATATATTTTACTTAAAGTATCAGACGAAGATATGTCATCTCACAGACCGCTCATTGCAACTAATTGGAATTTAAACAGTGTATATGTATGTTATATAAGTAGTACAAGAGGGTATTCCGAGTATACAAAGTGTGCGTTTGCGAAAAAATAAATATATATTGTCTGCGAATTTGAGGATAGCTGGGTTTACCTCACTTCAATGTTCAGACAATTAACTGTCATCTTGGAAAGCTCATTTATTTCTGACTGAAAAGCGAGTAGTTTACATTTAGGTTATATACATAAGTAGTTCAAGACGGTGTTCCGAGTAGACAGCCGTCTACCATCGCCGGAGCATTTATTTTAATTCTAGATCTTTTCCTGAAACTTTAAGACGGTGAAATGTCATCTTAAAGAAAGCTGGTTGGTTTTCTGGTCCAAATTCAACTTGCCTGCGTTTAGGTTATTCACAAGAAGGTGATACTTGGAAAACGACATATATATTTGCTGGAATGATCGAAGGACCGAGGAGATATTTTACTTAAACTCTCAGACAAAATGCCATTGAGTTGAAAAGCTACCATTGAGACAGAGCATGCCTTTCTCGTCGCACTTCATTACGTTTTCATATTTGTAAATAGAGCAAGAGTTAGTTTCTATTGTTTATTGAAAAATGTGTATGAGAACGGGGATATGTTACTCAAACATACTTAGACATAAGACTATTTAGTTGAATTGCCACGCGAATGACAGAGCCTTTATTTCTTACTGAATACCGTGCAGCCTAGATAATAGAAATAGCGCATGAGATAGTTCAAAGCAGTGAAACGTGCGACACCGCGGTTATATGTTTTACTAAACTCTCAGATCGAGTACTCTTTAATTGAAATGTTATTGTAGACCTTTTAGTGAAACATTCGCTCGCCACCATTCCGCCAAGAGGGAATATATAACTGCTGGCTCGGACCGGTTTACCACCTCCGTGCATCGATAACGAGGCAGTATGGTTTATTAGCACGTGTAAATATGAACAAGTACTTTCCCGATAAGACAATATAAATCAGCCGGCTAATAAGCCATCTCGGCAGTCCAGAGTTGGAAAGGGAGAGTCAATATGCCTAATTACGGTCACGCTAATAGCCCGCATCGGCGAGTGTATTGAGCGTGTGTGTGCTAACTAGCTCCGCAGCTACATTATACGTGAGGTACATGGTACAGCTCAGAACAAACGGAGGACGGGCCAATTGTGTCAGATTAGGGGCGTGCTTTGTGGTAAAACTTTTATCGGAATTTTATTGTGTCCACCTTTAAACAATGCGATATATGATGATCTGGATATAGTCGCAATGACTGGAAAGTAAACAATTATTCCGCACATCCATTGATTTCTTCAATCAGACGGACTTTGCTCGAAGTATGCATTGTACAGCAAAGGGCCAAGACTTCGATGAATGTCTTCAAACTTTCGGCCAAAAAATCACTTATTTTTATGCTGCACTTGTCAACTAACCGAGAAATTTCTACGTAAACACAGAGTCCGTTGACTTGTGGTCGTTTTGACTTTTAACGTTGCAGACCTATATTTTGATTCTTGTGTTAACTCTGCAGTGAGGCTAGGTATAGCAAGTATAGAGCAATGGATATTGAACTGGATCAAAAGCCACAGAGGATTTCGTACAATAACAGACAATTATCATTGATATTCTCACGTGTTGATTGCAATTTATAATATATTATTAATAACATATTGTTCAACATCCGGATTATTTTTACCTGGATGTGGTTTGTTTACTGTAGACTTCAAGCGATGGGAATGATTGGACCCGTTCTAATGATGGTGGACGGAGCTGGATTTACATAATCTTTGATTATTTAAACATAAATAAAAAATCCTTGGATTTTTTCATTGATGCCTGGAACAACATCAAAATGGGATCATTGATTATCGATCCACGGACCAACAAGACTGTGTTCACATTCTTCTCGGAGTTTGGCGTGGAATGGGCAGGTAAGCACAACGTGATTATATTTGAACTCAATTTCATCGCCCGAGAGATATTTGCTAATTCTACAAATGCAGCGCGTGCGTACCAGAAACACGTGCAATAAAAAAAACACGTGCGTCTTATTTTTTTGGCGTTGTAAAGACACGTTGTTTGTGCCATAACTAAACATATTTCAACTAGCCAGACATTGAAGTTGTTTGTTTTTAAACCACACTTATCCGATTGATGTGGATTTTCTGTCCTTCCATTCAAATAAGTAATGCTTATGGTATTGTTAAAAACGGGAAGGTTTCACGTGTTGCTTACAATCAGACGCTTGCTATCTTGGCTAAAATTGTCACGAATTCGATGTAAAATATGATGAAATACTCTGTCTATTCCGACCGGAACTGATGGATGCAGTTAAGGGAATACAAAGGTATCAGTTAGCAATATAATAGCTAAGAAATTCAAACTTTTAAATACTTTTAATATTTTCATTTAAAATAATGACATGAACAACATTGTGCTATAAATACCTGCTTACAGTGTAACGGTGGGTTTCACCGTGTTATTACTGCTGTTCCAAGCAACACATGTACAGTCAGCGATGTCTCCGGTCGGAATAGATAGAGTATTTCATCATCTTTTACATCGATTTCTTTCTACGTTCACGTAGAATGTATAAGGTGGGAAACGTTATTCAGGTGTTTTTTGTAATGTGAACATGAATACGTGAATATACAAAGAGACCGAGGCCAACTGTGTATTAAGAAAGGTATTGCTTTCCCTTTTGAAATGTCTATTTAAACAATATTTAAAGTGGGGGGGGGTATTACAAAAGAGACATATTAAACGGATTGAACGCCGAGGCGTAACAAAATCCTCGAAAACAACTAATCTCAGGATTAAAAATTCGACCCACACTAATAGTTGATGACGTTCACCCTCCAGAAATATTGAGCCTCGTATACAAATACAGTAAAACTTCTATAAAACGCCCCTGGTATCATTTGCTGTCTCGGTTATCGACAACTTCATGCATCACGTGTCAATTTAAACGATCCCGATTGAACAATTTCACGATTTCTGTTAAACATAGTCTTGACTGTCTTTCGCTCTGGGAGACTAGTATTGATTATGAACTAATTCTCGAATGACATGTTCAGTGTAATGTACTAAATCTATCATTACATTTCCCTCGAGAACAGCTCACAGATAGTATTGTCTGAAAGGAAAATAGTGCCTTACCCTGACGGCTTGAGCATCATTCCTCCCCGGACAACACTATCAGAGAACACGTCCCGGGGGAATGACTGAAATGGATTGATGTTTCAGGGCCGTTGCCTTTTTTCATCTTTATTATTTCCCTTGATATATCACCATTTTTATATCAGTATTCCGTGCCAATTAGGCGGTTCCACCGGTACAATGTTCCTTCGGTATATATCGAGGTTTTACAGTGTATGAAAATTGTATCTTTGACTGTATAATGCATGCTTGAAAATGTCTTCCGTCGAGAGCCAACGCCATTGTGTAAAACCTCTCTCTGAGAGCTACAGCTCACAGGCATTTTTACCGGACCAATACAAGCCAGTGGTATAGTGTTTTGTACAGAAATATATCAAAGTGTTTCGGCTTTAATCCTATACACTACACGTTGTCACGATTTCCGCCACAATCAATAGAATTACATAACGAGATCTCGTCTGGAACACAAGTTCGCGGAATCACTTGGCTGTCAGTCAGTTCTATATATTTTACCGACAGAACGATGCAATGCGGACCGACATGGTTCAATGTTTTCTCAGATTGTTATTTTGGAGTATCATCTAGCTAAACATCATTATGTCGAAAGCTTTTGAATCCATTTAAAACGGAACATTCGATATATCCCTATCTGAGCTAGGAAAGATAGCAATGAACGTCCATAAAAACGAAAATGCGCCTCGTAATAAAAGTTAATCTAAACAAAATTTGACTTATCTATATGGCCACTAGATATTAAAGGAAAATTGAATTAAATAAATGAAAAATAAAATAAAAAAAGGATGAGTATCTATAAGGCCCGTTTTTGGGCCCCGGTATATTCCGATTTGCCCTCCTTAATTTGTTCAAAGATGTCCTATTGTATTACATGCGCAAAAAAATAAGATAAGAGTTTGACCGAAAGTGAGTTTTGAGGGTATCAAAAGGGGTAGCGTAAATCACAAATATAATTTGCTGTTCTCAAAATGAGCTTAAAACCAAAAAAGTTCCCTTTCTGATTTTGAAAACATGCGTAAACTAAGCACGCATATATAAAAAAAAAAATGAAAAATGGCAGAAATTTAATTGTCATTTGAAGATCGTTTATAAAAAACAAAGGATTAAGTCAGGGGGTTCTTTTAGGTAATTTTTAAATGAAAAGTGTTTTGTTTTCTCAATAATGTCCTTTCTAATTTATATTTTGAGATGAAATTTATTATTTTTCTCATTTGAGTACACTTACATAAACTGCATATTCACTACACACTTTCAGTTTGTTTTATACTGAGTTATGGCTTCTGGACACATCTCAGATTTGGCAATTTCAAATACCTCTCTATCTTAAGTGAATTGAAAGATGCAGGACGCTCTTTATATGCTATAAGTATATGATAGTAATTGTTAATATTATATATCATATAATATGTGTTCAGCACCTGTGGCAGAGTTGAGTTCCAGGTCCTGATTTGTTTTCTTACTTATCAAAGTTAACTTACAAATGAAAAATGGCATTTGCCATCACAACTACAGTAAAATGATAAGTTTAATATATGAAGATTGATTTGCTGGTAATTTAAGTCTCCTAGCTTCAAGGAAAGTATCTGTTTTAATCATTAAAGTTTACGCATTTCATTGTTTTATCAATTGTTGTGCCTGTTTCGAATGTTAATGCGCTGATTGTACATAAAAGGCATTTTGGGATAAGCATGCAACTTGGCATAGATATTAGTTATAAGACAATATTTATGTTTTAAAAGTTTCATACTTATCCCACAATGCCTTTTTACTTAAACACATTTTTTCTTTTGTTTTGGAATACACGGGCTAAAGTGCATTTCCTTGCTCAAGGATGGTGGTCATGGTGCTGCAATGTTTTAGACATTCTATTTCCCGCATACTGATATTTTGGTCACTACATGTCAAACAAAATATTACTTTCAGTACAGCAATTGCTCCGACGGAAATTGTCGTGGATGCCAGTGCACTTAGATTCCGAAATTCCTTGTGAAACACGATCAATCGAAGAGAAACAAAGAATCCTGTTTCCCAACAACAAAGGAAATGTAATTAATATGTGAGGTTTTAGCAAATTTTCCAGATTAAGGCTATCAGAACTTGTAATAGTTTTTGTGCAGTAGGTATATCAACGTGTTTTTTTTTAAATTAGCATTACTCTGCCTTATCCCACATGACATTACTTTGATTTGACCATAGTGTCTGTCCCAAAAATGGGGAAGATATAGTAAATAAATTTACATGTTCACATTTTAGAAGCAGATACCTGTGATTTGACCTAGATTTACATGGCGGGTGTCGTTGATGGAAGCAGGGGACGCTTATACTTCCGGAATACCTGGTCTTCCTCCTGTTCATCTTTCAATGGTCTCCGTGTTAATACTTTGTTTGTTCATGATAAGTCCTGATTTACTTTGTATCAACCTATTTTTTTCCGTTGATTGAGACATGTAACACATATTATATCGATATTGCATTCTGTAATTGGTTTCGCGAAATTCTATGTGTTAAATATTCATGCAAATATACATCACTGATAAAAAGAAAAGAGTGAGACGAAATAAACAAAGAGCTGTATTCTTGAATATCATGGTCGGGTACCGTACCAAAACGGGAAAATATGGTCAACATTATGGTAAAATATGGAGAGAAAAAACGAATAGCTCATTAAATTATCGAAATAGTAATTCAATAGGATTTCAGAGAGCTGTATTAATGAAAAGAACATTCAATAACCTAGCTTAATCCGCATTTATTCACAAGAAAATAATGTAAAATGGCTTATGAATACAGCCCTCGTTCATCTATTATTCATTTGTCGTCCCAACTCCGACTGTTTATAAAAAAAACCTCAAACATTCGGGCACTGCCCCAAAATATAAAACTATCCAAGACACTGGAACTTTTAAAAAATCAATGTATAAACATCGCTGTTGATTTTATGTTAGAAATACTTTCTTTTTATAATTTTGTTATAAATATTTGACAATCTTTTGTATTCTATCATTGTACATCTTTCCTTTTTGACTGTATTTAGATAGGTACGAGCCCAAAGAAACGATCATTATTATCAGAAATCGTCCGTCATTACGTCCGTATGTCCGTATGTCCAAGGTCTTGTGAAAACAATTCCGTGCTACAGTCCCCTGTGGTAGCTATATACTATAGAGGCGACATAGTCTCCTGCTAGCTCGTGCAACATTCCTCTGTGGTACCTATATACTTTAAGGGAGGCAAGGATCGTGATACCGTTCCCTTGTGGTAGCTATACACTTGTAGGGGAGGCAATATCGTGCTACTGTCCCCTGTGGTAGGTATATACTCTAGGGGAGGCAATGATCGTGCTATATTCCCCTGTGGTAGTTATATACATACTCTAGGGGAGGTTATGATCGTGCTACACTCCCCTGTGGTAGATATATATATATATATTGTAGGGGAGGCAATGATCGTGCTACAGTCCCCTGTTATAGTTATATATATATACTCTGGGGGAGGCAAATATCGTGCTAATGTCCTCTGTGGTAGCTGTATACTACAGGGGAGACAAACATCGTGCTACAGTCCCCTGTGGTAGTTATACATATACTCCATGGGAGGCAATGATCGTGCTTCAGTCCCATGTGGTAGTTAAATACATACTCTAGGGGAGGCAATGATCGTGCTACAATCCTCTATGATGACTGTATACTACATGGGAGGCAAAGATCGTGCTTCAGTATCCTGTGGTAGCTATGTACTATAGAGTCGTTAGACCGTT